ACCTGGTATGTTTGTATCCTCTATTAAATGCTGGCAGTCTACCTCTAAAGTGGTATCTGATACTCTTTTCTTTGTTAAATTTTGCCGTCGTAGCTATAGTTATGAATTCTATTATTAGTTTAAAATATTGATACCACGGGACTAATAAAGGACAACTAATTTCTTACCCAGCAATTATGACAGTTGTGCCGTTGACTACCATGTTTATTTTGATCAAAATCTGCTACAGGTCTCTCCTGTCTACAATCAGAACAGAGGGGCATTATGATTTACAGTTTATCTAATTTCTAAACATATTAGTAAGTAATTCTAATACAAAACCTACAAATAAAACAGGAAACCAAGATGTTATACTTTTCTCTTTTATTAGGTTTAATTGCTCTAAACTCTCTATATTTTTATTTTTATCTCCTGGGATTTCTCTTACTAAGTTTGAGAATATTTGTTATACCTGAAATCAATGATATTAGTAGCTTAGTTTATACTCAACAGCAATTACAAAATAATAAATAAAACTCTTCTACCTTTTACTTTTACCAGGTTTGATTTCTCTAGATATTTTTACTTTTTAATACTATTTTCCAAGATTTCTTGCAGTAGCTAGATATTTTTTTATAACTGAATCTAGGAGATTAATAACTTGGTTTATCCTTAATAGTAAGAGCAAAATTGGAAATAAAAATCTTCATACATATTTTCCTTTATCAGGGTTGATTTCTCTGTATCTCTATTGTTTTTTATTTTTATCTTCACAGATTTATCTTAGTAATTTCCAAGAGCCCTCTATTATATCTGAAATCAATAGCAAAAGTCAGTTTGCTTATCCTTTGTTGCAATAACAACTTAAGAAACAAATATGTAATACCTTTTTTTTGTTAGATATTGTTTCTTTACATGTTATTCTTGATTGATTCAATTTTCTGGGGTTTCTGTTGCTGATTTTAAGGCTATTTCTTTATATCTGGAATCAATAATATTAGTGACTTGGTTTGTATATAACAGTAGTAACAAAATAAGAAATAAAACTCTTATACATTTCTCCTTTTATCAGTCTTGATCTCTGGATTTCCCTTACTTTTGTTGATATTTTCTAATATTCTTTTTGGTAGTTTTAGGACTTTGTTTTCTATATTCCAAATTAACAATATTAGTAACTGGGTTTATCCTCAATAGCAATCCTAACATGAGCACCAAATATGTGGTACCTTTTTTTCTGATGAGATTTTATTTCTCCAGATTTTGGTATTTTTTGTTTTGATAATTTAGAATTTCTGTTGCTAATTTTGAGGACTTTTTATATCTAAAGCAAGACTATTAATTACTTGGTTTATCCTCAATAACAAGTGCAAAACAAGAAACAAAAACCTGCATACCTTTCTTCATTCCTCTAGTGTGATTTCTGTAGATCTCACTTATTTATTATTGTTATCTTTACAGATTTCTTGTAGTGATTTTAAGAAGCTTTCTCTTATATCTAAAATCAATGAAAATAGTGAGTTTGTTGACCTTCAATAGTAAAAGCAAAATAACAAACCAATATGCAGTACCTTTTTCTTTGTCAGATTTTATTTCAACTGAAGTTACTATTTTTTGTTTGATTTTCTGGAATTTTGGTGGCTAATTTTGAGAATATTGTTCATATCTGGAATTAATAATATTAGTAACTTGGTTTATGCTCAACAGCAAAAACAAAATAGGAAATAAACCTCTTGTACCTTCTGCTTTTGGCAGGTTTAATTTCTCCAAATTTCTGTTCCTTTTGTTATTATCTTCTAATATTTCTTTTAGTGGTTTCTACACTCTGTTTCCTACAACCACAATTCATAATATTAGTTACTTGGTTTATCCTTAATTGCAACAAAAAAGAGGAAAAAATAAGATTGAACCTTTTTGTTTTCGCAGGAGTAATTTAAATAGATCTTGGTTTATTTTTGCTTTTATCTTTACAGATTTCTGCTGGTGATTTTGAAGAACTTTTAGTTGTACCTAAAATCAGTCATAATAGTCAGTTTACTTCAAGTTACCCTCAATAGCAATAGCAAAATAAGAAATAGTATCAGAAATTGTACCTTGTTTGTTTTATAATAGTATGCTGCTGCTGCTTTTATAGCTGTTATTTTTCCTTTACTGATTTTAGAAATTCTACCTGTATTACAGTACCAACTTAAAGGAGTATTATTTGTATAGTTTAGAGTATGAGGATGTGGGTGTTGTGGGTAAACAGGGAGTGCAAAGAGATAGAGAGCAAGGCATATAAATAAGAGAAAAAATCCAAGTACCAGTTCTGAAAATTTGAGTAGCCAACATGAGTATTCATGATATACAAGGAAACCATGTACAAGATGTACAAGGGAACAATGTACAAGATGTGCAAGGAAAGTATGTTCAAGATGTGCAAGAAAAATATGTTCAAGATGTGTATAAGGGGACCACAGGCTTATCAGATCGTGAAATTTTGTGGACAATCAGATAAAAGCTTACAGTACATATTAGATTTAAGATTAATAATATGAACAACTAAATCTGGTCTATCTGATGCTGATTGTCTTGGTTTTAAATTATCCTGAATCTTGTTCCAATTAGGATTACAGGTCATAGTTATAAAAAGATTTCCCTTCTTATAATATCAGATAATTGCTATTGAGTCATAATAATTCTTACTTATTTGATGCAGTGATCCTGAAATAGATGAAGAAAGAAGAAGATGGTTACCAACTGTCTCCAGTCTAACTCCAACATCTCCATCAGTTGTTTCTAGCCTTTCCCTGAAATCCTGACAGACTTTGACCTCTCAACTTAGACTGGTTTTCTCTAATCTAGCGAAGAGAATTTTACTTATTAAAAGCTGCAGCATCAACTAAGTACTCCTGAAACAATCGGTTACTATAGTAAAGAAGTGACTTAATTTTCCTTTGCTTAAAACAATAGTATACATGCCATATTGGAAGAGAAATATGCTTTGAACTAATATGTCCTGTTGTTGGATTTATCTGATGTTCTAGAGCTAGAATTTGCTACTCACATTCAATACCATAAATCTGACAGTTTACTCTACGGGTAGGGTAACTTTCTTGTACTTTAGTAGAGTAACAACGGATAGCTTAGGGAGAATAAGGAGCTGTTTGGCGTTACAGTTTTGTGTGGTTACCAACCATGATTTAACCATAAAGCATAAAAACTGACCAATTATGACCCTTAAAATAGATTATATAAGCAGGTTTTGAGGCCAAACCATGGTTGGTAATCACACAAAACGGTAACACCAAACAGCCCCTAACTCTCTCATACTTTGGTGGTATAACTACTTGTAGCTTAGATAGGGTAACTACCTGAATCTCGAGTAGAGTAACCTCTGAGATTAAGGTAGAGTAACTATGATATCTGAACCTCGAGGAGGGTAACCTCTGAGATCATTGTATAGTAACCATATGCTATACTGCCAGTGGTATATCAACTATACATAGTTTTAGGTAGAGTAACTTTCTTGTATTTAAGTAAGGTAACTACTTGTAGCTCCAGTACAGTAACTACTTAGAGCTCAAGTAGGGTAACTTCTTATACTGAGGTAGGGTAACTATGTGGCCTCTGAGTAGTAATAACTTTATAGTGTTCAGGTAGGATAACTTTCTTATCTTTAAGTAGGGTAACTACTTGTAGCACCTGTAGGATAATTATCTGAGCTCAAGTAGGGTAACTGCCTAGGGCTCAGGCAGGGTAACCTTTTCATATTTTGTTAAGGTAGGGTAACTTTATTCTCCCCTCACATATCACATTTTCTATTTCCAGCATCAAAGCTAACCACTGACCCCTTACCCTTTCCGTTTTTTTTCCGCTCTCATTTTATTTTCTTCCCCACGGTGTCCTTTATGTCCTTCAACCCACCCTAGCTTAGTGCTGTCTTTCCGGGCATTTTAGCATTGTCTCATAGTGCATGTCTCATAGTGCATTTTAGCGCTGTCTTTCCGGGCATTTTGTACTGGCGGTTTTCAGGGGTCTCGAGTACTATAGATACTAATAAGCACTCTCTCTCCCGTTAACTTACCGTGGGAGTCAGACCTCGGTGCTCAGAACCCGCCAGCGGCACTTGAATATTTCTGAAGACATCTTATCCTTTGTACAGTACTTCTTTCCCCCTCCCCCCCCTCCCTTCCCTCCCTTTTCCCATATATCAAGGTACAATCCAAGAGTGCCGTCCGTGGAAACAAGGAACCTCTTAGACAACAAAGTGATATAAGGCAAGATTTCTAGTAGCAGCGAGTACTGTACAGTACGGTACCGGTATGGGGGGGACCACCCTCCCGCAAAACATGGGGTAATACATACAGGACCCAACGGGAGCTTCGATTTCGCCATTGATTCATCGGACATCCCACAAACGCCACCTGGAGAAAGCTCGGGACAAACCATATTCATCATGCTGCCGGATCCCCGTCATAGGAGAAGCCAAGATACCGCATGTGTCCCGTTTCGCTCTTACGATAAAGATATGATACCTCCTAAACACGGATTATTTGGCTTACAAGGTATAATATAGTACCAATGACATGGTCCTACTAGAGATCGAGGCTAGAGGGAAATGCTGAACAAAGTTGGGGATTGTTGAGCAAGATTCATACGACCTTGATTGATATGCCATAATAGAATTACATGTGGCCAGTGACCGCTTCACCGGTGCCATAAATTATTTGATATTCGGGGAGAAGGTCGGGTTGCTAGCTTGGGGTGACTTCCCGTAATTGTTCTTTTATGTCTCAAACCCTGCATGGGAACTCGCTTCAATAATCTCTTACTGCACGGTACAGTACTCCAATGCCGGTGGCTGATCGGGGCGCTAAAGCTTCAATTCGAGATATGGCCTCCAACCAAATCATTGAATACCGGCGGTGGACAAGTTACACAACTCTACTTGAACCCATTCTGTTTTCACCGCCAAAAACGTTCACCAAAATCAAGACAATTTCACTCTCATAAATTTTATTAGCGCACGCCCAAACTCCCACTCACGAAAAGGCCATCTCAACCAACTCCTCCAACCCAACCCTCTTCTCAATTATATACCCCCCTAGCATCTCCGAGCACCTCTCGGTCAGCACACAAGCAACAAGATGCTTACAAACCGGCGGACTCCCACCTCCAATCTTCCCGCCCCACCTCCACCCATCCTCTCCTCCCTCCCCCTCCCCATCTACCTCCTGTTTATCTTCCCCCCAAACCCCCAACCCCCCAAAAGCCTCAAACGCAAACCTAGAACAACTACAGCTCCACGCCTTAGTTCTAACCTCATAAACGGGCCCAGCAGTCGAAAACTTTCCCCGTGACAGCGACTGTGTGGACTTCACGTAGTACACAGAGTTTCCGGAGTCGGTTGTGTATCTGGTCACCAGGGATTTATCCAGGAGATCGAGAGCCGGGAGAAATGCGGACGGCAGGAGGCAGTGGAGAGACATGAAGAGTTGGCGGGCTGATGCGGAGACAGTGTTAAGGGGGTTGGAGGGTGGAGATGTAGTTGGTGAGGGCGGGGGGAGGGACTTAATTTGGTTGATGAGGGAGGTGATTATTTGGCAGGGTGATGGTAGGGGGGTGGATTGCTGTGTAGTCATGGCTGCTGTGAGGTACGATGGTAGTGCGCGTAGTCGGTTGTCGGTTGGTTAGGGACGTTAGTCTACTCTTCATTCGTATCGTCAGGATGGCTACCCATGGATCGCGGCTGCAACCTTTCATCCAAACCAGAATTTAACATCCGCATTGGCTGGTATTCCACTCTCCTATTATGATTGATATATTCGCGGGGTACGAACAGGCACCGGTAGCATTTGGCTCTTACTTTTGCTGCTCTACGCTCTATTCTGACACCAAAAATGTCACTTTTCCGGCTCGATCACCTATTTACCCTTAAGATGGCCCGAGCACGACTCTGATGATTTCCTGACCGCCCTATACCATACAGTACATAAAGGCTCAGTGAATCCTAGAGGGGCTCTCATAAAATATTGAGGGGGTGTCTCCATTGAATCAAATGCAGCACAGCCCAAACCAGCCCGCAATTGCTCCATCAGTGTACTCAAACACCGCCATAAAATGGTTCCCAGAAGCCTAGGCCGCTGTGGAACGAGCAAGAGAATACCACCAACCCCGGATCTAGAACCGGCCCCGCCCCTTAGCTAGCGCCCTAATCACCCTCGTCAAAGTCGGATGGGCCCACCCCCTCTCCCGGGACGCTCTCTCTCTCTAACTGTGCTAAAGCCCCAGACAGGTTCTCTCTGACATAATCTGCGCCATCCTCAAACCCCTGGTCATATCTATCGTTAGCATAGCTAGAGATAGCACCCTCCAAGGCCATCCCAGCTAACAAGCCTCCTCCAGCGCCTAACGCAATGGTACCAGCGGTTCCCCTGCCACTGGACCTTTGCTGTGGCACGTATACTTCTGATGGTTGAGCTATCGGAGGAGGATAGCACACAGGGGGTTGGCTCTGCTGGTGCGGCTCTGATCTAGGGGATCCATGCTGGAAAAGTGATGATATCCAGCTAGCAAACCCTGTTTTCTTCTGTTGCCCTTTTTCCGTCATCTGCTGATTGCAGGAATCCATGCGAGGGGCCCTTGTTTCTTTAGGGGGCGAAATTTGGGGCAAGAGGATTGGTGGGTGGGCATTTTGATGGTGAGCAGGGCTACCTCCGTTGGGTTCTGGGGATGGTTAGAGTCTGGTTCAACACACCATAAACGGATTATGCACTGACCTGCTCCTGCCGTAGGAGGATCAACAGTTCCAGGTGGGGTTTCCCATTGTGCTCTTTGAGTGGCTAGGTTCACGTAGTAGAATCGCTGATATGTTGGATCATATTGAGCAACCCAACCTTCGGGAACTACTGGAGGAGGAGGGCCCGGTGGGAGATCATGGGTTTGTTTGCTTCCGGAGTTTGTCTCGGGGGCTTGAGCCTTGGATTTTCCCTCCATAGCTGCCTGGGAGCCGATATCTAAAAAAATCCAGGGAAGTAATGATAGTTGTAGAAAGGATCACTATAGGGTTCGGGGTTATGGGGGAACAAGGCTCTCACTAAGAAACGGGGAGAAAGCAGAAGAGGGATAGGATCTGCCCGAGATATCTCGTTGATTGATATATTTAAGTCACACCCATATCCTAAATGAAGTGTGGAGGTATACGCCTCCAAGCTATCGTCATACCTAGGCACCGTACACGAATAACAGCGAATATTTCCAAGTATGAGAGTAAAGTTTGACCCCTATTGGTCGGATTCCCCTGCCCTATAGACGAACCGTGTCCCCATGGGGCTCAGCTTCCCTTTGCCATAGAATCACCCCGCTAGTCCTACCTAGAGCAGTAGTTTACGTTCATGGGGACCGCGATTATGCTAGACGGAAGTGAGGCTATCCCCCACCTCAAAGGGCCCTAAGGAGATATGTCACTTTAAAGTATGCAAGGTTATAATTATCATACTTTTTTTTTTTACAGTAATGCCCTAGAGGTATTTCATCTCCCAGAGTATCATTCGCTCAGCGCAACCCACACAACATCCTTGCCCTGCAGTGCCGCTGCTACTAGCCCCGAGCCGGCTAAAGGCTAGTGTTGCGAGCGTTGACTAGAAAATTGCAATGCCAATCCAAGTTCATTTGAAAAAATCGTCCCCCAGAGCGTCCATTTGTTCACTTCCAAGTTGAGCAGTTGCTCCTGGTCCAGTGTCTGGATTCACTTGGTAAGGGATGATAGCACTCTCTGACTGATCATTCATGCTAAACTGCCAGTTCCTGAAAACGATTGACCCAATTGCAAGGGGGGTCGAGCAATATTCCAGAACTTCAGGATCCTAAATTACTTGCTTGTCTTCCCCAAGAGCGTCTTTTTTCTTTCTTATAGTTGTCTCGGGTCCTGGCCCCCCTATCATATCAGATAGTCCTTTGCACTGTTGGTTGCGCTAGGTTTTGGAAAGAGATTTCCCGGTGAAACATTATTCGTATTAATTTTTTACATACGGTAATGTACTGTACTGTACTCGTTATCCTGCAGTAGCGCACGAGTATATAGGCAAGCGAAAAATGCTGTGGAAAAGTGTCAATATTTGTGACTTATAACCTCGCGCAGGACATTTATCCTGTTTGACCTCAAGTGGCCGTCACGAGTAAGTGATACCATACGGCACTTTTATAGGTTGTTCGAGCCTAGACGTGCTATCAAATAGACCAATTCAGTGTTGGTCCAATGTGGAACGAGTGATGTATCATGACCGAATATAACACCAACAATACAATCGGAGGGTGGGCGAATAAGTAACTTAAAGCTTCAGACCCCAAGCGCTACTCGAGTAGAGCGCTCTCCTTGAGGCACACAGCAATTTGTGACCCGTCTCTTCCTAAGCTCTCTCCCGAACAGAACGCTGCAAGACCTGACCCTACTCTTCCTGTAAATGGAAGCCAAGCCACAAAGCAGTCCTAGGGCACAACCCCTACTCCCCACACACCGTGCCTTGCCTATCACTCAAAGCAATTTCTAACTTCCAAGGCCAAAGACAGCGACCAGCCGACTGACGAACGACCATCACCAAACACCCGCATCCAGACTAACCTCCCACTATCCTCAAAATCAGAAATCATGGGTCGCGGTATGGAGCTTTTGCCCTGGTCTCCCCTTAATTGGGTCGCAGGCTAATGTGGGGTGTCCTACAGTTCGCACAAAGACCGTCAAGAAGTACTCCAAGGTCATCATTGAGAAGTACTATCCTAAGCTTACCCTCGACTTCGAGACCAACAAGCGTATCTGCGATGAGATCGCTATTATCGCTTCCAAGAGATTGAGGAACAAGGTGCGCCTTCTCCCTCTTCTTTCGGGGTGGCTATTTTGCTGACCCGCAGGGACACCCAGATCGCCGGATACACTACTCATTTGATGAAGCGTATCGAGAGAGGCCCCGTCCGTGGTATCTCCTTCAAGCTTCAGGAGGAGGAGCGTGAGAGGAAGGATCAATATGTTCCCGAGGTCTCGGCTCTCGACTACAGTTCGGGTGACGGTTCTACTCTGGAGGTCGATACTGATACCAAGGAGTTATTGAAGAGCTTGGGCGTATGTTTTCATTATTTCCTGGACCTTGACTTAGGAGTTGTGCTAACCATTTTATCGATATCTAGTTCGACGCTATCCCCGTCACTGTCGTCCCTGTGGCTCAACAACAACCCCAGGACAACAGGAGGTTTGGTGGTGGGAACAGACCCCCAAGGAGAGATTAAATATGTGTATAAAAAAATTAAAAATTGGGAGGGGGCTATTCGGGGATTGGGTTTACGGCGGATAAACTACTTTCTTACAATCACTTTCTTCTCTGTTCTTGATGGGAGAAATATCATCATCAAAAACTCCATAGGTGCCAGAATAGTGATTTGTGGTAAACTTGGTGAAATTTGTGCTTGTGGTATCAATGCTTGGGTCCCTCAACACTGATCCTGGCGCTTTCAAACTTGAATTACGACAAAAGCTAAAAGGCTTGATTTTCGACGATCCGTGTGTATTTTCTGAGAATAATCGTACCCCTCAAGCATAGCTTAGGTAGAACGGCATTTCTCAGCTCCCTCTTCTCCCCAAATGCCCCTCACAGCCTTCTCAATGATATTCTCCATTTTCCCAACCTTGCTCTCGAACTCTCCCTGGACTTTCGTGACTCCAGTCCCAGTCCTCGAATCGGAATACCAAAAACAACGCCAATTCGACAGGCCCTTCCCAACCTCATTGCGTATAACTTTCTGAAGCTGTTTAAATTTAGGATTATCCAAATATTTTCCCGATTCCTAGGCCACGGCGAACCAATTCTTTTCGGCGGATATAGTCTGGAAAGATGTACGCAAAGGCCTCGTTCTCAGAACCGACTGATAATGGATAGTTGGCAGTATGAATTTGGTGACGCTAACAGTGATTCTTGGCTCGATTACTGTGACGGTTGTCGTTTCGCGTCCGACGGTGGCAGGAGGTAGGAGGGGGGTAAGAGAGGGCAGGTAGCGAGACGATGCGCATTTTCGAACCGGGTTCGCGGCGTGGATTTTTGATGGTTTCTAACGCAGATTCGAACCCCTAGGTGCCATGTCGATGGGCGGTCAGTGAGTGAGAATGTGGAGTATCATAGCCGATAGAACTGCCACAGTGGTCATGTGTTTAAGGAATTTGCTTCGGGAGAGATGGAATATGTATTGCGACGCTGAAGCCAGCACTGCATACCGTGCGATATCCGAGCAGATCGACCGTCTCAATGATCGCTGGGTTTGAACTCCCTAGCCAAAAAAATCTTGCCCCTAGTGCCTCGGTGTTCGGGATCGAAACTTGGACGATACTGGTAGCTATGAGATCATGGGCGAGGGAAAGACTACGATAGCTTGTGAGTGGGTTGTTTCAGTCAGGGTAACAGGTGGCAGCCTGTCTTACGAAGTGATGATAGCAAAGCCCCCCTGTTTATGTAATTTATCTGCTATCCTCAGGGTTAGGGGAACAAGCAGGTCATCTTTGATAGACTCTGGTTTCTGGAAACCGCATTCCGAAAGTACCCAAAGCAAAGCCTCCGACAAAACACTCGAATCGAAACCAATCCTCCCCCAATCACTCACGATGGTTGCTGCCTGGAAAGCTGCTGGCCTTACGTACGCTCACCCTTATGGCCCTCCTATCGATGATCTGGCCGCTAATCGGGAGTAATCTTGATTGATTGATAGCTATAATAAATATCTATCCATCGCCGCGAAAGTCGTGCGCAGGTCCCTCAAGGAACAGCCCCGCCTGGCTGCCGAGCGTCGCGGAGATATGCAGCTCAAGTTTGCAAAGTGGGAGGTTTGTTCACGCCCTTATCCGACTCTCGTTTGCTGGTGGAATGCTGGCCATTTGGTTGACTTGTTTGTTCTACAAAATATAGGGCGGCAAGCAGGGCGAGGTGAAAAGTTTGGCCAAGGAGTCTGTGGAGCAGTAAAAGGGAACTTTCACCGGATCACTTTTTCTTTCTTAATAAAATAAAAAATAAAAATCGATTCCCACCATTGCACAAGCATGTATGATAGAGGGTCTATCGTTTCTAGATGGTGTTTGCGGTGGAGAGGTGGGGCATTTTTAGTGTAGAATCCACCAGTTTCATTGAAATAAAGGCGGAATCCTCCATTACGCCCCAATTCCTTTGTCCCAAAGCACATCCCACCTATTATGAAGAACAACTAAAAAGGGTCTACACGCTGCACAGGCCCGCCGCCCCATAGACAATCTACAGAACTCCAAACACAGTGGGACGGACTCTTCCCACCTCCATCGCCATGGGAGAGGCTGAGAGTAACGGGGTCAATCATCTGGCTTACCCCGCCGAGGATCTCGAACGCTTCACCATCAAAGAAAAGGGACCAAATTCCATCCCGGCCCCAGCAACCAGCCCAATAATCCCCGCTTCCCAGGCCACTATGGATTCCTTTCGAGATGTTACGGCCGAATTCTTTGACGCATCGGAGAGTATGCCAATTCTTTCTTGTCACAGAAACTATAAAGTTAACTCCTCTGAATTATAGAGCTAGAGATCGGCCAACTAATTAAGGACCCATACTTCACTCTACTTCAAGCAGTCGGCGCTTTGGAAGTTCGTGCAATCCCCTTTTCCCACCTATCTTCTCATTGGGCTTGGTCAAAGTACGTTATTGACGGTTTCTGGTTGCGACGGTCAGATCATGGATCCCAAGATGGACAGTGGGATGCTACTGGCGGAATATGAATCATTCGACGCATTACAACCAAGACTGCCGGAGGAGGTTGTGGGGATTATGGATCAACTCCTATGCCATGAGGTAAGGGGCCATTACCTGCATTGACCAACAGATTTGCTTATGGAAATAGATGGCATGGCATGCAGGAAGTGCTCTTTCGCAAACACTATTTACTTCACTTTACATAGATCGGCTCCTATCTTCTGGCCCTTCTACTCTTGCTGAAGCGACATTCCAAGGACCTCATGGAAAGAAAACCGATACTCCCGAGGCTCAATTGCTGGAAAACGTGTTGCAGCCCTTCTGCGTTGGGTTGATCAAATGCTGTTGCCATGTTAACCATCAGATACTGACAGAGCAAATTTATGAGGTTTGTAACGATGGCCTCCCTCTCCAATTTGATATCAAACTAACATTATGCTAGGAAGAAGACTTCGTGACCCAGGTCTACGGCGTTAATCTGCTTGAAGAGGTGAAATCCGGAGAAATCGTGGCCCTTCTGGAGAGCGCTTTGTCGTGGCTAGAAGGGACTGGGAACTTGTACTCTGAAGAGATCCGCAATGCTTTCAAGTATCGGTTGTTGCTCCGCAAATCACTAGTACTTGTATTTTCCGGCGAAACCAAAGAATGGTCTCCCGAAACTACTGATGTGTGGGTTACATCCCTTGAACATGTGAAAGGAGTTGAAGAAACCTCCAGAGTGGGTAGAGCTGTCCCTGCCGCCTTCAGCATATCCGTGCAAAGGAAGCTGGCAAGTCAAGTGCCGCCACGAGCAATGGTCAACTATCCATTCAGGGACGCCATCTCAGATTTAATGAGGTTCTGCGCTGAAGGCAAGGATATTTTGAAGATTCTTGATTTTGAGGGATCAACAAACTTAGTTGTAAGCAATTATCCTTTTCTACATAACGTGTCAGTTTACTAAACAAAGTCTCTTGTCCGTACCACCAGAACTATTTTTTGAACTTCATGACTCGCCAACCATCCCCTTCGCCGTATATTCGATCTCTCCTCCAATCCGTGTTTTTCGGACAGGTGGAGAATCCAGGAAAATTTCCAATAAAGCAACTTCTCTACGATGATCTCAAGGAACTCTGTTACCCAGCGGATATCCTATTAGATCCTCAGAACGACCTAGTCGAGGCGCCACAAGACCCTAGGTTTGAGATAAACAAACGCATGAATTGGTTCATAGAGAGAGCAGGAAAGGTTTTACATCTAACCCCCCAAGCTCAGGGAGAGGTAGGGACTAACTTTGTCTTCTCAGTCTTTCCTGGAATTCTTTCGGAACATCTGCCAAAATAGATCGCGATTACGTAGAACTCTATGCCATTCTATTCTGGACTGGGATTCCCTCCAAGTCGAGGTAAAGTTAGCCCGTGCCCGGAAGAGCCAATTTATTAACAAGGAGGTCATCTAGGCAGAAGAAGTAGATTCAGAGTTACGCCAATTCACTAACGAAGAGGCAACAATGACTGCAAATGGGCCTAGCTTCGCGTTTCCATTATCTTCGTGGGTCTATCATTACAAGCTACGGCAGATGGAATGGATCATGCTCCTAGGGTTTGAGTTGGAGGTTTTCCAAACGCACGAGTTCGCTGGGATGTACTGGTATCTACAGCATTACACGCGCACAAGGATAAGCCATATCGAAAGAATGCTGCAGTTTGCGAACAGGCCCACCCCTAGCCCTCTGTTAGAAAGGAGGAAGGAACCACGCTCAAACCAAGCGCAGGCAAAGAGTTTATCACTCCTGAATTTCTATCTGCTGGAGGCCGCCGGGGTGCAAGAGTTGGCAGGCGCTATGATCAGTGTAAGCGCGCTCCTTTGGAAGTGGTTTGCTGGTTCGTAAACTGACTTTCCTAGCTATTCACCGCTCTTTCAAGGCTTAATCTGCTCAAGAAACCGCCCCAACCCTTCAGTAGTGATGCCCTTAGATATGAGGTAAGGATGAAGCCATTCTTCACCATCGGCTGCCCAGAGGTGGTCCCCTTCGAGGATTTCCAGTCCCTGGTCGGTGATCAGGAGATGGAGGTTAGCGCCCCCTTTCCTATCAAGCGGGGAATTCACTCATCAGTCTTAGACACCCGAACTCCTCGAAATGGCCTCCGAGAGCGCAACAGATGCGAAGAGGAACTTTGATCAATTATCCAAGCTAGATGCCAGAATTGCCCGTGTGGTTCTGTGCGAGGAGAGGTATAGAACGGTACGGCGGCTCCATCCTCTCTCTGTTGAAATTGCTAACATATATACCCAGAGCATGCGCGAGATGATGCGGTCCTGCATCGGAGTTGGGGTGGCAACAGCAGTGCTCTCTAAAGCACTCCAGGAGGGCAAAGCGAGCCCTGAACTCCTGGATGTCCAGATAGACCGGGAGAGATATCACCCCTCTTTCCCAGCGCCGAAAATAGTCGTCAAAAAGCGGTAGGATAGAGTTATCAGATTTCATTGTGATAGAATCATAAATCCTCACTCGTCAGCCCACTCTTCTGGTTCGGGTGGATGTGCGAGGGAATAAAGGCAGACTCCGTGTATTCTAATGATAAGGTATAATGTGAATGGGATAAACTTTAGCATTACTAATACAAGGGGCAAGCATCCAGGCTATCGTGAGAGAAACCAGCATAACCCCAGGACGGGAGGTAGGCCGATGCATGACACATGAAAGCAACAAGCCAATGAAATGTCCACACAAGATTCCCAACAAACACCATTGACAGCCAGAATCTGAAACTAATCTTTGCCAGCAACACCACCATCGTTGCCACCGTCACCATTGACCAGCCCCTCCGATTCAATCAGCATGTGATAGATGGTTGGGTTTTTCAGACGCCGGGCAACGACCAACGGCCCCTCCACCAAGTCCCCCGAAGTCCCGTCGGAAACCTTCGCTCCGGCCTCCAACAACATGCGCACAATCTTCACGTTACCACTCGCAACGGCGATACCGAGCGCGCTCCTCCCACTACGATCAAGCCTCTTTATATCGGCGCCGCGCTCGAGCAGCAGCTTCACAATCTCAGCCTCGCCCCTCGAAATGGCAAAGCTCAGCACCGTCCTGCCACTGTGCACGTAGGTCCGGCGGTTGATATCCTCGCCGGCATCCAGCAGGGCCCTAACGCTCTGCACCTTCTTGGAATTGATGGCGGTGTAGATGGCGGTGCGTCCGTACACGTCCTCGATGCCGACGTTGACGCCGCACTCGTGGAGCATCATCCGCATCATCTCCACATCGCCCTCTATAGCGGCCAAGTGCAGGGCGCTGACGTCACACCTTTCCCGTAGGCCCGGGTCCGCTCCCGCCCTCAGCAGTCGCCGGGTGAGACCAAGCTTCCCGCGCCTGACGGAGAAGTACAGGGCTGCGTAGCCGACTATGTCCGTTCCTGCGCCCTTGCGCAGGGCGTAGGAGACCAGATCCTGCACATCCACGTTCTCCGCCTGGTCCGCCGGGTACTTGTATCCATGTATACGGTGGGGGGTGAGTGACAGGAGGCTTGCCAGGAGGGAAGGCGACGGGGCCAGGATTGCGTGGTAGATGGCGCTGAGGTGGTCGACTCCGGGCTCGTGTGCACGGCTGACCAGTTCCCGGGAGAGGCGGGCGTGCAGACATTTTGAGGTGCGGCTCAGGGCCGAGAGGGAGGGGGTGGGGAGAGCGCTCCCCACGAGATAGAGCAGTTCGGTTGGGAGGGTTTCTAGAGCCATTCTGGAGGGTCTCTACTTTCTCTCTTTCCTTCCTTCCTTGTTTTCTCCCCTCCGTGAAGGGATTGGGTGCTGGGTGTTAGCTTGAGGTGTACCCGAGCAGATATATACCAGAGCAGTGGAATTGCAGTGGTAGGGGCCCCTTCGAGACAAGGGTATTGGAAAGGAAATCCAGGAATAGGACTCATCCCTCGAAGCACTAAATATTTCTACTCTGAGACTTGTTGAAGTCAATGTTCAAGATCGGAACCATTAGGCTAAAATACAATCGTGCATTAGTATTCTACCGGCATTAAATGATTCCTCCCACTGCCGGCAGCAGGTATGTTTATCGATTACCGGTAGAGGTAATTCAGGATTTGGCCACCATGGAACCGAAGTTTGTGCTTACCTACTACCGTACAGTACTAAGAGGGAGGCCGCTATAGAGTATATAATACCCGGTTTTCCTTGTGATACCAGGGTTTTTCACTAAAAAGGTGCCTTACCTTACGTAGGGTTGGATAGTGCCAGGTGTCTTGAAATCGGCCCCTAACTAAACACTGCACCAAACAATCGCACCCCAAGCAAAAAAAACAAAAAAAAAACAAGAAGAGGATCGAGGCAAACCCGCGACCGAACTATGATACTCAGAGTTTGTCCACGAATTTCCGCTTTCTCAATTGAGAGCACAATACAGTATTGAATGGGAGACACGGCCTTAAGTTAGCAGACTCCAGTCAAGCCCGTTGGTTCCAGAAAGTCCAACACCCAACGCGGCTGAGTCTGCGGGTACATGTACAAGTTCTCGTACTGTACGGTACTCTACATACCGTATCCGTGACAGTAGACTACCATCCCAACCACCCTTACAGCTACTGGCAGAACTAGCCCAATCCCCCCTGCAGTTGAGGGATGGATGGACAGACACCCCCGTATTAGTCTACGGTACTGTACGGTATCATAAAGTTATGATGCTAAAAACATCGTCGTCGTCCTTTTGGGATTAACTTACCACTCCGTGAAAAAAGTGGCATCCATCACCCTCCTTCCTTCCTTCCCACCCACCCACCCACCTACACAAACCCGACAAGAAACATGTCCATTGCAAACTTTACGCGGAAGAATTCCTATGATGATAAGAAATGGAGAAGGGTATACATATACCGGTATATATATGTATTTTCCCTCCCTCCGATCGATTGATTATCTTGTTCAACCTCAGTTTTTTCTTTTTTTTTTCCCCCGCGGTTTCTTGTGGTTTGATTTGATGGGAGGGGTTAATTTCTCTGAAGAAAAAATTTAGAAAAAAGATATTGGGCACTTTTTTTCCCCGAGGTTCTATCATACTTTATGTGAGGTTCGTGGCCTAGGCCCCGGTGGAAAAAAAAAAAAAAAAAGGGATCCCACGGGATGTCTGTCAGACTATGAGAATTGAGGGATGAAACGGGCACGGTGTTTGTTCTCTGATGGTGGTGTTACTGTACGATACTGTAGCGCTGTGTGATAGGAAAAGGTTTTAATTATTGATTGGAGGGTGCGATTGGATACCATCCAAGTACCATACGAGTACAGTACAGTAGAGTCCTATCACGTTTTCGCCGACAGAACCTATTATAATACCAATATTGCCCCGATCTACAGGTATGATATTGTACAGTATATACAATCCGCCCTGTTCGATTGGAGAACACTACAATACTCGTACAGTGTGTACTGGTATGATGGATGATGCATAATTCTGGGTAACCCACCAGTGTTGACAAAATCAAACTTGACTCGACTTATCCGTCTATCGTATACACTGTATCCATCCGGGAGAGGCATGAAAGTTATGGAATACGATAGTCTACGGTGCTGATTTACGATAGCACTCGGGGTATGATACGGGGATTCGTTGACTATTTTGTACTCACTTGCTGTACTCAAGTGACATAACTTACTTGTTTCTGTGTGTTGGGGGGGGCATAGAGTAGACTATGAGTAGATGGATACGGTGGTAATGTATGATATATTGTGCTATCTATTAATGTGAGCCCATCGTCGAACCTGTCTCTCTCTTTGATGGCGTCCTACAAGTACATAGACTAACCTACCGTAGTCTAACTGGGGGAGGGGCAGAAGGGGGGTGGGCGTGGGGAGAGGCGAACGTGAGGTAAGGTGAGGAGGATGCTCATGGTGTGGTGTGCTTCAGGACATTCCAATTGGCAGTATCATAACCTGGATGTTCCATGGGCACGTGAAACTCGGAGTGGCTACAGTTCCCGGTTACCGTTCTGTATTGTACCGTATGATTACTGCCGTAGCAAACCATGATATATCGCAGGGCACCGGTGATTCGAACCACCATTAAACTAGACTAATCAGAATATCTATCATACCGCCACCACCTGCCTCCTTTTACCACTCTTGTCCGGATGCCACAAGGTTCTCCAGAATCCTACCGCATCATATCTATGATACATATGATACGCCGAAAATCCGGCAATACCGGTACCGGTATGGCCCTACAATTACCTGCCCAAACAAGAAGGGGCCCCCACCCACAGCAGTCACGATAACTCTTTTGTTCGTGCAACAATTGTCTCACCTCTCCATACCCGCTTCCCCAAACTCACCGATGGCACCCAGACCGCAAACACGCAATCACCCGCCGCCCCGCCCGTACCGTTACCGTACTCGTACTGTAGTGTTCACTTCAGCGCCACCCACGGCAGTTCATGTAATATCATGCTCGTACAAGCACAGCATAAACAGGTATGATATAACAACATAATATCGTACTCGTACACATCGAGGTCAGACATACATGAACAACTCTCGCTCACCATCGTCCAAGAAAGAAAGAAGGAAAAGAGAAAAAAAGAAAAGAAAAGAAAAAAAAAGTCTCCGCGAGATATTGCCGAGTTGTGGACCGTGCCAGCTAGCTGCCACCAAGAATTTTGAAAAATCTCACCACGGTAAATGAGTATATAAAAAATGTGAAAAAAAAAAGGAAAGGAAAGGAAAGGCGAGAGACAATCGCAGAGCGTTCCGAAGCTGGTCCCTTCCCGTCCCGTGCCGTCCACGCCGTCCGAGAGTTTGCAGTACAAGTGCTAGTACTTGTACAAGGTACCGACCGGTGGATGTAGACCGCTGCACAATATTGCGCCGTGTGATACGACACTGCGCAGTAGTCATACCGTACCCAACAAACGAAGGATACCGTATCCGCGTTTCTTTCCTAGGAGGCTGGTATCCTCATCCGGATCAACTGTTTGGGAATTCCAGAACCCTGACTTGGTAGTACGAGTACTTTCTGTTATACCCCCAAGACACCAGGAACCGTTGTCAATTCATAAAGTTGTGATAATTGTTCCTGGGAGGCCAAACGGGGTCAGGTCTTTGGAAACTCAACTCCTCACCCTTCACGCAAAACTCTAATAATATTATAGAGGTCCGGGGAAATGAACCAAATGTCATCAAAGGGTCCCTTACCCCTCCCCCCCCCACTCCCTGGTCAGGAGGATACGTAGCAGCTATGGTTCCCAGCGTTATGATACCATCTCCATGGTGGTTGGCAGGGGAAGGGAGTAGAGTAAACGTTGGCTTGCTACAAGTATCATACCCGTATATAAAGAACCAACCAACCAACCGCATAATATTATCATACTATTAACTAGCACGCCGTCCAATTATATATCCTCCCACAGCTACAACTCTAATCCGCCGATGCCAGGTCCCACCACCAAACGCTGTTCCCTCCGCACCCGAGTACGAGTACTTGTACCAGTAAATTACCGGTACGGCACGAACGTCCAATAATGCGACCAGCACCGCAGACAAAAGCCCAGAGAAACACAACTTCCATGCCCGAATGGATAGGAAACGCAACTACTTGCTAATTATTCTCTCGCACAAGCACTGTCAAAAGAAAAAATAAAAAGAAAAGAGGGAAAAACAGCATTTGATGCAGAGGAGGAAGAAGGAGGAGGATAGCAAATCCCTTCCCAAAAACCCCTGATTACATTATACTCGAGTATCTTACGCAAGGCACAGCACTGCCATTGGGCCAACATCTCCCTCCCCTTCACATCTTCCCATGCAATCAACAACAGGGCTCAAATTACCCGCACGCTCACTAATTGATGAACTAACAACCGACTATTCACTCGCCGCTCGGTAGGCCGAAAAATCAAGAAGAAAAAAATAATTAAAAATCCTCATCTCTTCAAGCTATGCGTCCTTCACCTCCGGGCGGCCTCTTAAAAAGTCTATCCGCCTCCTTCTTTGCCGCATGCCTCCACCCTTTAGACTTCTTCCCAGTTGTCACCCCTTGCACTGGTGGTACACTCAACTGCACGTGCTGGGGAGTGACCACCCACGGGGGAACTCTTTGTGGGACAACGCTCCCTCGCAAAATGGGAGGAGGAGGGTTTCTCCGTGGCAGGATGTTCTCACGCAGGGGTAGAATATTGGGCTGGGCGCACACTCCTTGCCAAGCGGGATGCCCCCTCACCGGCCCCCGTGTACCGTGGTGACCGCCACGTCCTGGGTGCAGATGGGAACCGATAATGGGTCCTCGAGCCGGCCCCGCTGCTAATGGTCCGAGACCTACTAGGCGCTCGGGGTGCACCGGTACTATCCCTAGGCCCGTCGGGGGCGCTCCCAAAGGCTGGCTCGAAACGGGGGGCCGTGCATATCTTCCTGAAAGGGAGGATCTAGGAGCACCGAGAGGACCTGTACTTTGACTTGATGGGCCAGGATTTGACCGCCCGGAGCCCATTGGGGTCGGAGGCTGCCCGACTCTTCCGGGACTAAATCTTTGGGGTAATTGTGAACCTGGAGATAGGATCCTGGGGAATGAAACGGAAGCGCCCCTAATATCGGCAGTGCTGGGCGATCGAAATCGAGAAGTTCGCGCCCTATATAGTCTGGAATTTAAACTCGGCATTGGAGTTGGGTTCCTTGTTCCCACGGGAGCCTGGCTCCCGGTGAGAGAATATAGAGCATCTGGGGGCACAAAAGAACTCGCCGACCCGCGGAGACTTTTACCCATGCTGGGGGGCTGGTGGTGGGTTCTTGGGGCCCAGGTGACCCTTTTTCTCTCACTGGGCTGTGCTCGTTCTTGGCCAGATCTGCTCCTCCTGCGCATTGGTGGGGTCAGAAACTGGCCCTGTGAGTATCTGTGAACAGGGTTGGTGGGATTCCTAAGCTCGTTGGGGTCGGGAGGATGAGGGCGGCCCTCTGAGACACCCGTTGCTCGCTCTTGAAAGAGGTGGGCAAGTTAGAAGTGCTGGAAATACTATCATATCTGGCATAGCGGGGTACTGAACCTATGGAGCCTCGCCTCTCCTGAGTTACCCCGGGGCTCCTCGGCCAAAATTCCGGGGGTCTGGAAAATTGACAGACGGGACCCGCAAATCTCCCAAGCTCAAGATGAATCGGACGACTAGTCTCCGCTCTAAAGGGATTTGGGCTTGATTCATCTGCACTCGAAACCTCCATCACCGTCACAACTGTAGCCTGTGCCTGCCCAATGGCAGCCAGCCCCTCCTGAGCCCCTTGCGAGCCCAGTGAGCTACCTACAAGCGCAGGAAGATCGGTCTCTCCTTCTGAGGGCTCGACTCCCTCTTCTATGGTGAACAGTGGGTTACCTCTTATTCCTTGTTTTAGGCAACTCCCATCGAAGCCCGAGCAAGAAAATTCCCTAGTCCATCCAGAATGTATCCCTTTCTCAAGAAATCGTGAGCCTGAACTGGAAAGCTCAAAAGGAAGTCGCCCCGACCCAAAAGTGGGCGGCACCATTGATAGAAGAGGAGGGGTGGAGGAGGGGGATAAGGACAATCAGCGTTCCCAACCGTCCAGTCCATCCGTCTTTAGGTAGGGTGGGGTAGACCGTAGTCCGTAGTCCGTAGTCCGTCATTTTCGGGGCGCTAGGACGGACTATGCCCCAGAGACCTCAGACTCGACGGAGTATGGGGGACCGCCGACTTGTCAATTTGATAACATGACTAAGCACGCAGAGGTAGGTAGCACTGTAGATTGAATGTCAAGATATTCTCGGAGAGTCTTGTCTACACTATTCAAATCTAAACTTCATGATGTGGACCCAAGCAAGCAGTACTCGTTGCACCAGTATAGTAATATTACTTGATATTGCCGACCTCGAAACCGCTTCATTCCAAGGAGTTCGGTTTTGGCATATCAAGTAGGTGCATCCAATACCTGCACCCAGCAATTTCCAAGAAATACTCAGTGACCTGGGGAAGTACAAAAACTGGATATGAAGTCTGCTTTGGTGTAAGTACTGTGTTTATGGAGGATCGAATACGGCGCACTTGTCACTATTATTGACACCGCTGTAAAAACGCAAAATCCAGTGGGCTGATGGTATCCCTGGGCCCCAGAACTGTGCGAGGAGTCTCAGCAAAATTACCGGACGCCAACTAGGCGAACAATCAGTTCAGCCAAATTGGAGCTCTATTAACAGTAGCAGTGCTGCCATGACCGCCCGCCCTCCCTCGACTACCCGTACGTCGAGCCCGTATGATAGGAACAAGATGAGAGATCTGGGGGAGATGATCAACGGGAAAGTGGAAGTTCATCCCAACGACCCCCGCAAAATAGAAGAGAATAAATAAATAAATAAAATGTCAATTTCAATCCTACGAAATGAATGAAAGTCTACTGGAGGGTGAAAACCTCCCTTTCCCCTTTCCCTCCATACACAACCCCCTCGAATCCCAAGCTTCCCAGCGCTCTCTCCCGGCGCCGCAATCGCTTATAATATGGTATGATATGATGGCAGAAGACGACCGGTGCCAAATATATCCTCCCAGGCGCTGCGGGAAGGGGAAGCCTTGGGGGTTTTTCCGACTCTGGGAGAGGCCTATTATTAGCATCACCATTTCGAATATAGTAGATAGGAGGCAGGTTGCGAAATATATCGCACGATCGAAAACAATTTGTGCGCGCACCTCTCCATTTTTTTTTAATTCTTTTGATTCCCCTTGTTTTCGGCGAGATAAAATAGATTCACTATACTAGTACAGTACTTGCTCAAGCTAAGTTAGGCTGGATCTATCTATCCATATTGGCCTGCATGCCCGGAGGTCTTCCAATTGTCCTTCACGGAGTTTTTACGCTATACCATTTTCTCCGTTTCGGGTATGATATGATATGGTATCTGCGAAAAGTATGATGGCGTATTTTCGCTCATTCCGACGGAAGATTCGAGAACGAGTGATCAAAGAAGAGAAAAATTTATGATATATATATATATACAAGGTGCCCAGCGGCAGCGGATTTTCCCCTGCATTTCCCCCTAGTCATCCCCCACAGCGCCCTGACGCCTGTTTAAAGACCGCTGCGCGGAAAAGACGGCCGTCCAGCCAAGCTATGGCTCTAGACGGACCACGATATACCGTCCCGTCCGGCCCAGGGCTCTTGGCAGTCCTCCGGCGGGGCCGCTGAGCCCCGGGACGGCTGAGAGCACTGAGGGTAAATGACACACTCCATCAAAATTCGACCCTATTTCCCGGGTCTTTATATCTATGGTATTATACACGAGTTGGCGCCGGAGCACCCGCCCCGGACAATGGGACCCCTCGAGTCTTCGGACCAGCATGAACATCCAAAACATCCCCCCTTAGCTCTTCCACCATAAACCCGATACGGTAGAGTCTCGGGGTGACGAGGGCTGGGGTGATTGGAGGATGCCGGGCAAATATATAAACAAAGGAAGGGAGGGAATAAGAACGGATCGAGGGTACAATAGATACGATAATGGTCCTCGGGTGAAGGACACTCGGCAAAATGCGGGAGGAGAAAGCGCGTCATGGAGTATCAACGTACCGATATATATATGCTTTCGAGAGATTGGAAGAGTCACGACACCTTGGTCATCGAGAAGCTATGTGCTCGCGCAGCGCACAGAAAGTAAGCAATGAGTTTAGTCGAGTGATATTATGTGAAGCGAATGATGGCCGTGAACCCATACCGGTAGTAATCGTGCGCAAGTGAATGCGGCATCACTCCTCCTCATCCAAGGAGCTTACCCGCCCAACGATTCCCAGGCAGGCCCCACCATGATGGCGAATCCTGCCACGCTAAATAGAATACGCGCCATCTTTGTTGGTACCCAAGCCATGGAAAAAGGGGCAGGCTCGCGGCAAGATACGATTTCACAAATATAATGTTCTCGCCTGAGATCCCCCCCAAGGTAATATGTACTCGAGTATAGACGGCGCTAGTCAAAAGTTCGCATTATCTAGCTTCCGGGCATCTGCAGCGTAATCCCGTGCGCCCAACCCACCCACAAAGCAACATAAGAAAATAAGAGTGAAAACCCGTGCATAATAAAAAATAAAAAGAAGTAAACCCCCCCCCCGGTATACAAAGCACCTATAACTTAGCCTTGGGAGCTAGTGCCGCCAATTTCTCTTCATAAAGGGCACCAAGCTCTTTCTTGTACATTTTCGCAACCGGGGGCCTCTTGAGCTTCAAAGTTGGTGTCAAGAGGTCATTCTCAATTGTGAAGGGGTCTATTCGGAGCTGGATATTCCTAACCCTCTCATACCCGGTCATCCCAGTTTTCTTCGCGACCCGGTCCATCTCGCGGAGGACAGCATGGATCACTTCCTTATTATCACAGGCCGCCTTGATAGCCTGTTCGTCAGTTGCAGAGACAGTCTTCTTGAGGACTTTGCTAGCAAAGCTTGAAAAATGATCTCTATCGACACCAAAGATGGCAACAAGGAATGGCTGAAGTGAATCGCCGTAGACTAAAGCTTCTTGTTAGCTCCTGGATAGTTGTACAGGAAGTCTGACTAACCATATGCCTGAGCGAAAAGATTCATGTTTCCAAGATAAGTGTTCTCCACCTTTTCGGGAGACACATATTCCCCTTGAGCAAGCTTCAACAAGTTCTTAACACGATCAATCACCTTGAACCGCCCCAATTCGTCAACCGAGCATATGTCTCCCGTTGCAAACCAACCGTCCTGATCAAATACGCTAGCCGTCGCCTCCGGCGCTCTATAATAAGTTTTAAAAACTGTGGGACCCCTTGTCAAGAGCTCTCCGCGGGGATATGGCTTGTCCTTACTAGTGTACCCCATATCGGGGACATCTCTGAGCCGGACCTCAACGTTGATACAAGGAGGTCCACAGTTTCCGGCTGAGTTATCACCGCCCAGCTGGCCGATAGTCGCAGCATAGGTTTCAGTCATTCCAAAGCCTTCGTAAAAGCTGTTTGCAAAGACCACACGAAGAAACGAGAGGACCGTAGGTGAGATTGGTGCAGAACCCGTTACACTTGCACGGAGTCGATCAAAGCCAATTCCCGCCCTGACCTTATTTGTCCAGATGCGGTCATAGAACATGTGCTTGTTACTGCCATTCTTCTCCATATTTTCAAGTTTGGCATTCACAACATGACGCGATAGGGCGCCTCTAATTCCAGGCTGTTCAACCGTGGCAGCTTTAATCGAAGTATGAAATCTATTGTAAAGACGTGGGACAGATATGAAGGTGGTTGGGCGCAGCGCCTTGATATCATCCAGAAGCTCAAGGACATTACCATGGAAGTACCCAATAGCTGAACCTCCCCACAAAGCGACTTGCTCGGCCAGACGAGCAAAGATATGGGCTAATGGCAGGTACGAGAGCATTAGGTCTGTTGGCCCACCGTGGATTGTGGTAGTCATCGCACAAGTGACAGCTGCCACCGCGTTGCCATGGGTGAGCCATACACCCTTGGGATTTCCGGTTGTGCCTGATGTATAATTTATGGTTATGGGATCATCCCGGGTTGGGGGTACGCAGGGCTTTGGGTGTTGTTGTCCAATGGATTCGACTTCCAAATCTTGTCAGCTCCATTTTCGGAAATTAGGTTAAAGGGTGTTCAGAAAAAAGAAAAAGAAATCAGAGCTATGATACCTTCTGTCAACGAGTAAATTCTGATACCCTTCTCTTTCGCCCAAGCGTCCAACAAAGCTTTCTTAGTGTTTCCAGAGGGTTCTCTCTCCTGCTCAAGGGGATCAAGAGAAACGATGAATCTGAGGGTTGGTAATTTGTCCCTCATAGAAAGTAGGGTAGGAACATGCTATAGGGAGTTCGGTAAGTAAGCAATCAACGTAGAGGTATTATAGATATATACGTTTAAGCTACAAACAACAGAGGGAAGCTCGGCATGATTGATAATATATTCCGTAGTCTCCGGTCCCAGCGTATCGTAGATACTAACGGTATAAAGCGATTGGGACATGGCTGCTAAATCGGTAATCTGCCATTCCGGACGATTTTGTGACCATAAACCAATACCAAATTGCCCCTCGGTAACCTTTTATGCTCAACTTTAGCCCCAAAGTTTTGAGGACACCATCCCGGAAGAAACTTACACCATGAGCAATGTGCAGATAGGAAAGGCCAGCGCCTATATCCGCACGTTTCCTCTGGACAGTTACATAGTTCATCCAAACATAAGGACCCCAGGCGCCGGTTGCATTGTTCTGTTCTCGCCATCCTAAACAGTTGTTGTCAGGCCATTTTTGACCTATCAAGCATCCGTCAGTCCACAGTAATACACAGCGTGAAGTATGGGAGGAGGTCGCACAAGCCGCTTCGAAAGCATCATGAATGGTGTTTATCTAGAGATGCAAGCATACATTAGCAATTGCTCATTCGGGCCGGATGATAGGGCACTGGGAAGGTCTTGTCGCGACCCCCAAAGAAGCAACCCTAAGGGGGACTTACCCTTGGGTCCAGAGATCTCATTAACTCCCCTTTAGGGTCGGCGCGCCAGTGACGAAAGGCTGGCGTGTGCCCCTCCTTCTCAGATCCAGCTACTGGGACAGCATGAGGGCTCCCAGGAGGAGGGAGAGGGAGAAGGGTCTTTCCATACTCTAGGGCCGGATCCGTGCACATGGTGAATCGTGAAGGCGAGAGAGGACTACGTTAACCAGCTTTCAAATCCCCGGGATAACTATAACGTCTAGGGTGACTGAGGAAGGGGAGAGAAGAGAGGTAGGGGAGAGGGAGGATCTGGGGTAAGTCTGAAAGGGAGAGGAAACGGGGTTCAGGTGCGAGAACGTGGATTCAGGGTTTGTTTTTCTTTTCTTTTTTTTCGGTGAAGCCGAGGGCACCGAGTCCCGAGGAACATTTTACGGGTGCATGACTGCTGATAATGGATTCTATGGCATCGGAAGGAAGGTCGTAGGCTACAGGGCGATCGTCACATGCTGAGGGTGGATAGTGCTATGGGAGTTGGGATCGTTCAGCAGAACAAAGCCGGAAGCCCCCTACCGGTGCTGCGCATGGAATAATATCATTATATCCAAAAGAGTGAGACGCACCCATTGTCACAGGTCACAGAAATTTCATTGTCACGCTCCACAACATCCGGCCGTAGATATAACGGAGAGGCTCGCCTTCCGCAATCCCCAGAAATATGGAGATACCGGTATCACAGGTGAGGTGGGTAAGGTAAACTTAATCAGATCTTGTACAGTGCTGTGGCCGCTCGCCAGCGAACCAGTTGGCCGCCATAGAGAGTGATTCTGTAGAATTAACGCCTTATTCTTCGCCGACAGTGAATCTAGCCTACCGGAATCCCACCAAAAATGACAAATTTGCCTATCAGTGTCGGTACCGGCGCTTCAGGCTTTGGCAAACCTGACCACACCCGGCATTGGTCCCGATTGAGGCTGCTGCTGTGGATTTGACTAGCAGCAGTCTGATACTAACTTATCCCTCCGTCTGATTCCGGGTTTCGTAGTCCTATCGGCGGGTTCAAGAGAGAAAAGGGTATCATAAGTCAAGGTCACAAAAGGAGGGGGGCATCGTTGCAGCACGGTACAGTACTTGTACTGTACGATGGCAGTTGGTGTTGTTTGGATTAGACCATGTGAGCCCTCAGGGAGGTTCGGCGATATTTGGCAGCAAAGGCAGCCTGCAGTCGACGACACCAGAGAGCCAAGCCATGCCATGCCGTGCCTCGCTGAGGGTTCACACGGTCCAAAGTTCTGAGAACCCCAAGCGAAGAACTCAGCACGTTCCAATGCAATAACTGATCTCTCTCGCTCTCTAAGCTCCGTGTCACAAGTCAACTTCTCACGGATTCAGATGGTGATTTTGACAGGGAGAGGGCAAAATCATCAGATACATACAAGTATCATACCGTAAGCTCCACCCCAGGGCACGCGAGCCAGCTGCCGGGACTCAAAAGTTGATGCAGGAATGGGGCAGGAACCAGGACCGTGCTCTGCCCAAAGACCCAAGGCCTCGGCAGGGCATGAATCCTCCGCTTCCAACCCTTGACTGTCCTACCAGTACCGTGATCCCATTAGCAGCACCCCCTCTAAGCAGCTATCCTATAACACGCCTCCCAATCCAAGTTCCCGAAGCAAATCAACACGGTTACTCGTAGGAGAGTGGAGCACAAGCACGCAAACGGGAAAGCATCATACTCCAACCGTGCCGGTGTCACAGCTGCTATGGACCTGCTTACTCCTATCCGAATCTCAGCTCTTTCCCCCTCTTCCCAACAAAACGACACCCCCCTTCTCACTGCTGTTACCCAGCCGGCCGATTCCCCCGAAGCCCCTATCACTGCGGCGTCCATCCCCCGGTCCATATCCGATCTGGATGATATCCTTTCCATCCTCCGCTCAAGGCCCTCGGCTGAGCTCCTTTTCCGAATCCTTGTTCTACTAACTGCAGACGTCCAGCCTCATTCCTCGTATGACATTCGTACCCCTACGCCGAAGGCTTCGCAGGTTGTCAACACTCTGCTGGAAATTACTGTACCCGACTTTTGGAACTCCCTTCCGAAAAAAGAGAAAAGGCAGCTAGCAGAATGCCTGAGATCCATCACGGGGCTTGGAGGAATCGTTTCGAGGCTTCGACTTTTGTCCAAAGGCAAGAAAGATACACCAAGCGACAGCTCCTTCGACATGCGAATGGAGGAACTTTTTGATCTTCTGCACTCGGTTTTAAGAACCAAAGGCTTTATTCATCAAATATGGGAGTGGGGGAGCCGCGCTTCGTCGGATTCCAAACAAGCAGTGGCTTGGAAAGGATTTACCTCGTTAATAGCCGGTGGTAAACTCCTATCCGTTGCCGCAGAGGCTGATAGACTGCTAGGCATAGGTGATGAGGGGGTGGGAAGATGGATAGGGAGCGAATCCTTATTCATACCCTGGCTTGGTCAGGAGATTGCTTGGGCTAGTTTCAAAATTGACATTACAAACGAAGCCGAGTGGAAGGCTCTGAACTCAATGACTGTGAGGGCGCTCGGTTTGGGTCACCGTGGTATGTAACCACACCATTCGCACAAGTAGTTTCTGGCCTACCGCTCGGAAGCAAATCTGATGTCAATCGGTCATAGATGAGTTCGTGGAAAACCTCAGTTACCCTCATATTCAACCTGAAGGTGGACTAGAGAGACTACATAAATTGATATCTTCTCTTCCGGCGCATAACAAACATACATATCTGACCTCTCTACTCCGTAAATTATCGTTGAAGCACCTCTCTATATCGCCGGGGATGTATCAAGAGAGCGAATGGTGGAAGGGAGATGCTGCCAGGGTATCGTCCGTTGCGGGTCTCATAGACTCTCTGGTGGGGTGTGATGACGATCTCCAAGCCTTAGTAGTAGAATGGTTGGTCGGTAGTCAAGGCGGTGGAATCGGGGAGCCGATAGGAATTCGGAGAGCCCTCATCGTTCTTCTAGCGAAGGATGCTATGACCCTTAAAGAGTTGTTCGAAAAGAGTCTACAACAATTCTCAAACCAGCTATGGATCAAACACGCGCCCATATTGCAGCAGGAAGGTTTGTTTGACCTCTCTTTGCACCTGGTTTTCTCGTCAGCCCGTCCTGGTGGTCGGGGGTATGCTTCTGGTGCATTTACTTGTTACTACTATAAATATACTATATGCTTATTCTTTCCCTCCTGTCCCATTTTTTAAAGTGAACGCTCAGATACTCCTTCTCTGTGCTGGATATGTCCATCGCCAAATACCTGCGTTTATGACCCGTATGGCGCGCTCTTCGACATTCCTGAATGGAATATCCAATCGGATTGGAGCCACATCCGAACGGGCCCGATTCCTTGGAATGGTTGTCGGGGAGTCTTTCTCTGGTCTCGCCGATAAAGAAGGGAGCAAGATGAGCTTCGGAGTCCACGAAACTTCCACAGAAGAGGCCAAATGGTGGAAGGACATCCCGAGTATAGAAGACACAGTGGGGTCGGCATCAGGTCTACTAACTCCTTCAGAATTAATTGTCAACAAGAAAAAGCAGCCAACCATCCAGTCAACGGCACAGATGACTTCGACGATCCAAGTGATTAAAGAGGTAAAGGATGAAGAGGAGGGAGGTGACAATGACGACGACGACGACGACCTGATGCCCTACGCAAAGCCGGATTCTGATCCAGAGGACTCGGAAGAGGATGCAGCAGATGTTGTCAGAAAAAAGGATACCGCACCAGTGTAAGTTTCCCTGGTCACGAACCATCACTCACTAACAAGAGTAGTTACATCCGAGATCTCTTATCTATGCTACGTGATACAGAATCCTACGACCGTCAACAACTATCTCTAGGATCTGCCGCCTCTCTCATCCGACGGAAGGCGGCTTTCGGAAAAGAACTCATAGATCACGCCCCCGAGCTCACCTCATACCTCGCGGGGATGCACGACAAATACGACATGGACAACTTCCAAGAGATGCGTATGCAAGGTCTTATTTCATTGGTTGTTTCCCTTCCGGAAATCGTGGGGCCACTGCTTGCAAAGCTATTCTTCGAAGGGGATTACTCTATGGGACAACGCGCCGGTATTCTATCTGCAATCGGAATGGGTGCAAGAGAGTTGGCCGGATTTAAAGATGATGACCTTCCACTCAGCACCGAGTCGGCAAAGGGGAAGGGCAGCACAGACCTATTTCCTTCGAAGCGCCTTCCTGCCAAGGGAGACGCCATATGGGGCAATGATAAGCCCAAAACTCCATTAGAAAGAATAACTGGTACCCTGGAACGGCTCATGATCCAACCCATGGCAGCAGAAGCAGCAGATAAAGCAGCGGGGCCAAAGGCCCTGAGAGTGCGCGTATTCTCTAGCAGAATTGAGGTGGAAAAGAAACGTGCAAAGCCTACGGAGAACAAACTAAGCAAAGTAGTTGCCGAGGCTTTCTTTTTCCCATTGACCGGAAGATGGTGGGCCGCATTGAAAGACTAGTAATCCCCACCCTCTCTATTTCTACACTTCACAATATATCTAACACCAACAGCTCCGGCCGTGGGATCCACTTTACCCCTTTCCTCCTAACAAGCTTCCTCAAAACTCTCGGCATCATCCTCCACGCAACCGGTCCATCCGCACCCCCGCTTCCGCAAATGACCAGAGAAATCTGGGAGATCACATTCAACCTCCGCCACACGGATGAAGAAACCGTGCTGGAAGGACTGCTGTTCACATTGCTAACGATGCTGGAGCTAAACTCCGAGGACGGAGTGGGGCTCGCGAGAGATCACCCCAAGGAGCTTATCGAGGTGCAGGAATGGCTCGGTGGGATCGTTGTTGCTGGAAGGGGCGGGAGTAAGGTTCTGGGACTAGCCTCCGGTGCACTGCTAAGGGTCGAGGCTATTTTCAAAGAGTTCCAGAGGAGGATTATGGGGGAGATTGTCAGGGATGGGTAAAGTCACAGAGGATCGCTCGGTGCCGGGGAAGAGCTATTGTTGGAAGAGATAAACCGGTTGTTTAGCCCCCTGGGCTAGTATTCAGTTGATTAGTAGCCTGAGTCAGGGAGTCTCCCAATCTGTTCCCGGAGCTGCACTGCGCGCTCAAAGATGGCCTCTCGCTTTCTGTCGCCCTGTGAAACTGTAGTGCCGAGCGTCCAATATCATATCACCCAAGTCAACTATTGAGAAAGATTTGAAGACAATGCAGAAACTGTTTTCTCCTTTTGTGAAGCTTTGGGAAGAAAACCCTGAGTCAGAGCCCATACCAGCTCTTACCTATCGAGCCTGTAGCGCCCAACTTGAAAGCCCCGGCTCAGTGCCATGAGCCAGAATATCAGAAGCCATGAACATTGTATCGTAGCACGCTTCCGCTACTGGCGCTTGGCCCCCTTAGGCTACACCCCCCCCCGACCCACAACTCTTCCGAATCATGTCTTACTTGAGGCTAACCCCTCCTCTTTTCATCATTGACACCGGTATTCCTATTACGATCAAAGTTACTCCTTTGGACATGAAAGGGCTTGTGTTTATAGTAATTATCAGTGATCAATAATATATAAACCGTTATCCCAACCCCAGACAAGAAAAGGATCTAAATCCACCCACCAGCAGGATAAGCATCCGTTCACAGAGCAACACTATGTGGAATACCCAGCTGGCGCAGTGGCTAACATGCCAAGAACCAATTAACCCCTGTGCAATTACCAGGAGTCCAGGTTCAATTCCCCTCAGAGCGAGTTATTAAACAATCCACCATGCAGGGCAGGAGAATTGAGGAAGCCTGCCCTACGGGAACCAGGAGATTAAAGACCTTAGTCCTCTTCAGGGAGGCTATAGCGCAACTCAGGCCTGCCATGATATGCATACGAGGTGGCGGACTCCGGCTCTGGACCAAGCCCCGATCGTAGAGATTGGGCTTGCGATCGGCGGGGTAGCAGAAGATATAGGCAATTTTAAAAGAAGCTTTTGCCCCATTTGGTTTGTAAGAGTGAGGGAAGCGACCTTAGATATACTCCCTAGCATGACACGAAAACGGATGAGCTAGCCTATGAGGGTGGGTATTTAGAGCCAGACCTCCCTTTCCGGCTTGATCGCCTTATAAACCAATTGCCTCTTTTACAGAGAAGGAAGCAAGGATACTATACATATAGGTGCTACTAGAAAGATACATGAGGTCTGTGAAACATTGGAACTGCCGCAGGGAATCTCAAACCCCTCCCAGGAGCTGTCAAAGAACCTAGCCACTTGATGGTAATCAGTATCATTTAAAACTCTACTTGCCAGGGAAAACACGGCAGTCCGGGCAACCCTTGTCGTACACCGCAGTACAGTTATTGCATCCAGAAGTACAGGTAATGCACGCGGCTCACCCACACACACCCAGGCCAACAATTCGGAATCTATCATAATATTTCAGGCGGGTATTTAGTCGAGAACGGCTACAATTATGGGGTCTCCAAACCTCTTCCCAGAAAATTCTTGCACGCTCATACGCTATCACTCGTTTCTCTTGCTCCGTCCTCGTGGTGGTGTCATACCGCCGGGCATTCGATATCCTTTTATGATATCATGCCTAAATCAAGATTTAAGGACCACCGGTACCCAAAGGCACCGTACAGGCTCTTTCCGTTTTGTATATATATAAGGAATTTGTGGATTTAAATCCATATTATCAAATCATATCATACCTCGGGGATAAGATTTTCCCTACAGCCATGATATCAAGTTACCCTACACCACTACCATCCCAACCGTCAAACATTGCCCCACTACTACCCCACCAACCACGCACCCAAATCTCACCCAATCCCACCCCGCGCCCTTCCCCCCCTGTAATGGCATACATCTGCCAATCCTGCCTCCGTCTCCCACGTTGCTCAATTCCCCTCCGAGGATTAACGACGACGACATCAACTACCCCACCACCGCCACCACCTGCAGACTTCGAAACCGGATCATTCCGCAAAGACCTGAAGAAGAGGATAAAATCCGAGCACAGGTCCCGCCAATCCCAAAGGCGCGGCGCCACCTTCCCCCCAGCATACACGGTGACCTGCGGTCTGGAGATCCACGCGCAGCTCAACTGCGCCAGAAAACTCTTCAGCTCGTCAAGCACGAGCATCAGTGCACCTCCAAACACGCACATAGCGCCCTTCGATGCCGCTCTGCCGGGGGCGCAACCGAGACTGAATAAATCCGTCCTGTTACCCGCGCTGAGGGCGGCGATCGCGTTGCGATGCCGGGTGAACGAGGTGTCCAGGTTCGACAGGAAGCACTACTTTTACTGGGACCAACCGAGCGGGTACCAGATCACGCAGTTCTACTCCGCCCTCGCGAATGACGGGTACGTGGTGCTATACCCGCATGACACCCCGCATGCGAGCAGTGAAGGTGTGCGCGTACCCATTCGCCAGGTCCAGTTGGAGCAGGACACTGGAAAGACGATCGCTAGCGCTAATGTCTCGCTGGTGGACCTCAACCGCGTTGGTGCGGGGCTCGTGGAGATCATTACGGCGCCGTTCGACGTCCCCAGTGTGGAGTTTGCTTCGGCTGTTATGAAGAAGTTGCAGGCTACGCTGCGTGCCGTGGGGGCTTGCGTGGTGGGCATGGAGTGGGGGGGCCTCCGCGCTGATGTTAACGTTTCCGTGCGCCCCAAGGGCGTGCAAGCGCTGGGGAGGCGCTGCGAGATTAAGAATTTGAGCTCGCTGAAGTTGGTTGAGGAGGCGATCACCGCTGAGGTGGAGAGGCAGGTGCAAATCTTGGAGAACGGCGGGGCGGTCGAGGGTGAGACGAGGGGTTGGGACATCGAGAGGGGGACTACGAAGAGGCTTAGAGGGAAGGAGGGGGAGGTGGATTATAGGTACATGCCTGATCCGGATCTGGGTCCTGTGATCGTTGTGCCGGGGGTTGTGGAGAGTGTTAGAGAAGGACTACCACCGCTGCCGGACGAAATCCTGGAAAAGCTCACGGGAACGGAATATCACTTGAGTGTGAAGGATGCGCAAACATTAATGATGTGGGACGAGGGAGAAGTAGGGGTAATATCCTACTACAAAGACGTCGTCGGAAAAGTCACCACTGCTCTAGGAGCTCTCGCAGTAGCAAATCAAAAGAAAGGCAAAGAAGTCGGAAAAACAGTAGGAAACTGGTACTCCCCCCCCCCCTCCTTCCCCTTAACTTTCCACCCCCCAACTCTAACATCCCTAGGCTAATTCACGAACTCGGCGGAACACTAACAACCCATTCCCTCCCCTGGTCCCTCAACCCCCTCACAGCAACCACCCTTTCATCACTAATCATCCACCTCCTAACCAACAATATCACCTCTTCGACGGCAAAATCCCTCCTATCAACCCTGTTCTCTCCCGGCGAAACCAGAACAGTAGAGCAGATAATCGAGCAGGAGGACCTCGCGATAAAACCCTTGTCGGAGGCGGAGCTAGAGGAGGTTGTGCGCCGGGTAGTGACGAGTGATGATGACAGTGGGCGGAGCGTTAGCGTTCTAGCGCGGATCCGCGGCTTGCGAGATGAGGACGGGGAGAGGGGGGAGAAAAAGAGGAAGGGCCTTGCGAGTTTCTTCGTCGGAAAGGTTATGAAGGAGTTGGAGGGGAGGGTGAGGGCTGAGAAGGTGGAGGGTGCTGTGGAGAAGATCTTGAGGGAGATAGTCTAAGGCAGGAGTTTTCTTTTTCCGTCGACACCCCGGAAGGGTGTGGGAGGGGATGGAGAGAGAGGTCGAAGTGATGCTAGGGGATCGACATCGGGTTCGGGATAGAAATTAATAGTGACACCGGCGCCCGCCAGCAATGATAGAGGGAGGTTAATATTTAACACCCTTAGACTCAGCCTAGGGGTCATAATCTTCACCTACTATCACTCGAAACTCGATCTCGGCTCGGTCAAGGTTTTAGGACACCAAATTCTAGAAACGGCTCTTTCGCGAGCCTTACCGGCATAGTGCGACTCAAAGAAATAATCCCCCCACACCGGACCCTCCAGACCATTAGCCTCAGGATATCGAGAAACCATATTTCAATCAATGCACGCTAAACATATCGTACAAGCACAATCAAAAGCCCATCCGGCGACATGAAAGAATCCCGAAGGAGAAGAAAAGCAACTTCCAGTAGCACTTCCATTCCACTCCCAATGGGCTCTAGCAGAGTAAAAACACCGCTCAATCCTCCCATCCATAACATTACACCCGCAGTCTCTAGTACCAGAGATGAATCCGACTCTCACCCCAGCGAACCCCATATCTCCCGTTCCCCATCCCCTTCACCCAAGTAAAAGCTCATAAATAATCAATAACGAATTAATCCCGATGAGCGGTACTACACCCGCATTAGCCCACATCCCGCCATCGCCACCCGCCGAAGCGCGGAAAGAGAATAACTCACTCCTCATCAACGTCCTCGTCGCCGAAATCAGATTCATGGTCTTGGCCTTAATGCTCTCGTTTGCGGCGATCTGCTGCTGCATTCCGAATGTCTGCGGTTCTACGGGGGTGGCAGTACTCCAGCCAACTACGCAAAAAACACAATTAGCGAATGTGGCCAGCTTCGTCGGGGAGGGGGGGGGGGATACTTCTCGCCAGGAACCGGTCTTCTGAGAGGATTGCTATTGCGTTTATCATTAGGATTATCACTACGGCAGTTGTTAGTTGGGAACAAGGGCTGGGATGGAGAGGAGGGGGGGAGGACTTTTTATCAGGGGTATTAGGCCGAAGAACATTTTTGCGGAATTTTTGGGCGTTTGAGATGGCTGTAGTGGGGGGTGGCTGTTCAGGTCGGTGGAGTAGCTGAATGAAAGGTGAAAATGAATGAGGTAGCTTCGGTTTACATGTTCTCTAGGTATGATACGAACAGCCGCGACGTTTCAAGTTGCGACAGGGTAACAGATACACTTCATATCACGTGATCACATTGAATGCTTGAGGAAGATGGCGGGAGTGTCTAGCGGTCTAAAAATCATAAAACAACCATAATACGATACCTCAGAGACATGGACGAGAATTTCGTAACGGAACCAAAGCAGCTATTGATACAAGAAAGAGCAGGTAATAAAATACATTCTAACCTTAATTGTCACCTAATGCCGGTTATCCCGAAATAGAAGCCTAATTTTTTGAAAATTGAGAAATCCCTCGCCTGACCGTTATAAGGCACAGAAAGTAATATAAAACAAAGTAGGAAAGAGAAGTAACGGAAGGAAGGGAATAAAATAAAATGAGAAGAGAAAAAAGCCAAATCCATTTCCTTAAACGCCCCGCCAATTACCTAACCGATGATCATGCCGCTCTTTTTTCCCTTATTAGCAGCTTGCTTCTTAGCTTTCATGCGACGGATGATATCGTCTCCTGCTGCGCCGATAGGCCTGGCATATGCGTTGTGTCCTTGGACAACACGGCTAGGGGGAGCGATCTCGTATGAGCGAGGCATGGCTTGAGGAACGCGAGTGCGGTTCTTGTTACGATCAGGAGGGGCGAGAGGGTTGGATTCTTCATTATCGCCACGCTGCTTGAGACGGGGAAGGCGGGAGTCACTGGAAAAAAACCTATATATTAGCAAACATGCGACCAAGGAGCTCGGGCCGGGAATACGAACCCGTCATGAGCCATGGGAATTTCTCTGGAATGGTAATCGTCGCTTCTGCCTAAAATAGGACGAGACCAGTCTCTAACTAATCTATTGGCTTCGCGCTTGATGTGCAATTGAGGCCTCTTGTCCTTGGTGTAGAACATGACAACTTTCCCGATACCACTCTCGCGAAGGTAGTCGGTGGTGATCTTCATCTTGCCCATAATCTCGAACATGACTTTCTGGATGCTGTATGCTGGGAGAGCCTTATTAGGGAGAGGTTCCAGCCATCTCTTCATAGCCTCCAAGAGGTTATTGTCCATTGCAGTCGCCATAAGATTTGGGCGTTGGAGAATGTCTTTAACCTCTTCAAGCATCGCCAGCTTATGCACAGCTTGTTGACCGTTGACGATCGCCTCCTGGTCACGATTTGCAGCGTCCATCATACGCTGTTTCAAAGCAATGATCAAGTCGTCGTTCATTTCCTCAAGGTCCTATATCCAAAATAATTAGAGCAGCTTCAGGGCACCAGGGTCACAATTAAACATACTTCACCCTTCTTCTTCTTCTTCTTGGGGCCCTTTAGGGCGGCATCCATGCGCTGGTCAAGCTCCCTCCTTGCTTCTGCATATTATGTCAGCGACGATTGTGAAGCAACCCATTGGAAACCACTCACTCTCTTCAGCAGTCAGCTCCTGTTCCTGCAGCTCCGGTTCACCAGCACGTTCTTCAACAACATCCCTTCTTCTCTTAATATCCCGTCTCCTCTTCTCCTTTTTGCCAGATTTCTCTGGGAGTTGATTCGGATCAAGCTTCTTTTTGTACTTTCCGATCGTGTGAACGGTCTCCTCATCGATAGGTACGATCCTACCGATAAGGGAGTCATCAAAGTCGTGGAAGATCTCTTCGTCGATATCGGAAAGGACAGATTCATTGTCTGAAGCTTTAGCAGCCCCCTCATGAGCAGGGCTAAGAGTGTTGAGGTTCTCCTCCGTAAGCGCACTGGGGGGCGGCGAGCCGCGACGCTCAAGGGTTTCGAGTTCCGACATCAGAGTGTCTGTAGCTGTTTCTCTATAGGACGGTGGATGGAAGCGGGGTTGAGTGGAGCTTTAACGGAGTTGAAAGATAGATACTGATTGATCGCGGGGTGGGTGGCGAGCAGTTGTGGGTTGAGGTTTGTAACTTAAGGTCTTGTGTGCCGCTAACTTTCGGAGGCGTGAACCTTTGCCAAGGCAGCGATGCACAAACCTTAGCACCTGACAAAGAAAGCATGCACAGTGCCAAGACTTATGATATATCCTGTCCCCAATCAAGGAAATCCGTTTGCAGCCATTCTCCATCCAACCTCAACCACCAACCCTTGACGAAAATCGTCTCGAATTCGCCAAAGTATGTTCGGAGGTATGACATGATACTATCATCAAAATTTGATACTCTTGGGAAACCTATCATATTGATTTGCTAACGAGTTCCCTCAGCCGGCCCCCCACCACTATCAGCGGCAGAAATCAAAGAGCAAGAACGAGAAGCAAGAAGCGCCATTCAAGGAGCTGTTAAGACTTGTATCTTGCTCTACTTGTGTATGTTTACCCTCGGTGAGACAGGTCGCTTCAGTGATACTGATTGTCGTTTAGCGCCCTTTGTTGTCGATTATGTTAAGAGCTTCCTTTAGAAAGTGCGCTCACCACACACAATATAAGTTTACGCACCCAACGATTCTTTCATTGTGCATGCTCAATCAACAAGGCTATGGGCTACGGGGTAGAAGCATAAATCATCATTGAGGGCAAAGCGCCTTGCATTATTTGTACATCTCCAGCAGGCCGTCCCGCTAAGGAAAAATAAAAATTGCCGCACATCTATCGTACATTTCTTTTTTTTGAAACAGATACCATTAATCCCCGCCCGTTGGGAATGGGTTGCGGAGGTAAGATTGAATGAAACCCCGGTATTGGTTAATCGAAAGGGAAAAAAAAGCCAGACATTATCACACTCACAGGACCCCAAAAGACGAGACTAGAGTCCCCGGGGTCGAGACTTTTGTTCTTCTTCCCATTGGTCAAATGCCTTCTCAATATCTCTGACCTCCTTGTTGAGATGTTCCAAGCCTGCCGCGTTGGTTTGCAAAAGCTATTTCGTGGTACCGTTAGCCACCCATAAAACGTGGAGCATTTGGCGAGAAGACAAACCTTTCCGGCAGTTTGCAATTGTTTTTCATCCCAAACAATTTCGACCTTGCCAACTGTAGCCTCCATCATGCGCGCCTGTTCACTAACAACCATCATCCTAGCCCAAATCTCATTCACTCTGCCCCTCACTGCTGGATCCCATACAGCCCTTGAAAGGGCTTCTAGACGCTTTTTCAACTGCTCCTCCTCGGGCTGGAGAGCATAGCCCCTATTCTTCATCACCTGAACCTTGGCCGCTAGAGATAGAGCCCTCCGGGAAAGGGCGGTATGTCGACGACGACAATCCTCAAGTTTGATACTTGTCATCAAATCATGGCGGCTTTGAAGGGCAGCTAGTTTGTCCTGAATCTCGTGAAGGCGATGTCGGAAAAGGTTAACCTGCTGCTCTTGAGACTTGACACGGTGGTCAAGGTCCTTGAAGCCTTTGGCGAGGACAGGAACAGATCTACAGATAACAGGATTAGCATGCTCTTCTAGAGCGTGAATAATAAGAATGAAAAAAATAGAACACACCCTTTATTGGGTCTCTCGACCCAAGCCTTCTCCCATTCCGCCAAATCGTCAGCCGGAGGTTTTTGGTACATATTTGCCCTATCTTCTCCAACGTGATTATAGAGATAATATTTGAAGGCATAGTCTGGATGTCCCGTATCCCAGGCGTTTTTTATTCTACCAAGTTTATCGACGATCACATTTGCGGCTAGTCATAAAATTAGTGCTGGGAGCATCCGATGGGCGTTGACGCAGCACATACACTGTTGTTGAATTTGCATGGTCTGCGGCATCATTGAAAACATAGGTTGCTGCCCATATCCACCCACAGTAGAATTCATATAGGATCCTTGCTGCTGCCCTTGATTTGCAGCCGAACTGCCAAATAGTCCACTCTGTTGTTGCTGCTGGGGTTGAGCTTGTGCCTGACCGAAAAGGCCGCCTCCGGTTTGTGGCTGGCCAAACAGTGATCCACTCTGCTGGCCGAATTGTTGCTGGGGTTGTTGATTTGATTGTCCTCCGAAGAGTCCACTACCTCCAGCAGGCTGACTCGACTGACCGCCAGCAAATAGCCCACCTTGTTGCTGCTGACCGCCGGACATCCCTCCACCTGTATTCTGCTGCCCGCCGCTGCCGCCGCCAAAGAGACCGCCACCAGTGCTCTGTTGAG